AACAGAAGTAGCGTTGCAGAAGAAGAAAGTGTAGAGAAACTGTTTCTTCTTCATATACACTTTTTTTTGCTTTTGGGCTCTGATAAAATTCAATGGAGTGGATTCGTCGAGAAACAATCGGTCACGGTAGCTTCTCCACCGTAAGTTTAGCAACAACCTCCGGAACTTCATCGTCGGAGTTTCCACCGTTGATCGCCGTGAAATCAACCGGATTTGTCTGCTCCGCCGCGTTAAGGAACGAGAGAGACGTGTTGGATTCTCTCGGAGAGTGTTCGGAGATCGTTCGGTGTTACGGAGAAGGAAGGAGTGTGGAGAACGGAGAAGAGATTTACAATCTGTTTCTAGAGTACGCTTCCGGTGGTAATTTAAGCGATCGTGTTAAAAATTCCGGCGAAAAATCGTTACCGGAATTCGAAGTCCGACGATTTACGAGATCAATTGTTAAAGGATTGCGTCATATTCACTCGCATGGGTTTTCTCATTGCGATTTGAAATTGGAGAATGTTTTGGTTTTCGGTGACGGAAATGTGAAAATCTCCGATTTCGGTTTAGCGAAACGGAGAAGAAGAAGTGAAATCAGTGAAACTAGGGTTGAGATCAGAGGTACGCCTCTGTATATGGCACCGGAATCTGTTAATCACGGCGAATTTGAATCTCCGGCGGATATTTGGGGATTAGGATGCTCTGTAGTTGAGATGTCTAGTGGTAAAACGGCGTGGTGTTTGGAAGATGGGATTGAGAATGTAATGTCTTTAATGGTACGGATTGGTTCAGGCGACGAGGTTCCTGAGATTCCGGTTGGTTTATCGGAGGAAGGTAAAGATTTCGTGAAGAAATGCTTTGTGAAAAACCCGTCGGAGAGATGGACGGCTCAGATGCTTTTGGATCATCCATTTTTAGCCGTTGATTACGAGACTGAGAGTGGTTCGTTGTGGTGTGGGTGTGGCGAAGAAGACGATGTTTCGGTTTCATCACCGAGGAATCCATTCGATTTTCCCGGTTGGAATTCGGTTCAATCTCCGGTTAAGGATTATTCGCGGTTTAATTGTTTGGTACGTTCGCCGGAGGAGAGGATCAGTGGTTTGGTTACAGAGAAGGGACCTGATTGGTCGGTGACGTGTGATTGGGTCAACGTTAGGTGAATGAGTGGAGGAAGAAGAAGTCATAAGTGAGAAAAAGAGATTATTATGGGTTTAATTAGAATTGACGGTCTTTAATTTAATTGGTTAACTAATTAGTCTTTTTTAGTTAATTTAGCTCGTTCA